GGCGGGATGCTATTATTGTTCCCATACCTAAACCTGGACGGGATCATACAGATCCCTCAAATTATAGACCAATTTCACTCACTAGCTGCGTTTGCAAAACCATGGAACGCATGATCAACAATCGACTTGTTTGGTACTTGGAAACCAATAACCTTATAACTAATATACAATGTGGTTTCCGTAAAAACCGTAGTACCATCGATCATTTAGTGCGTTTAGAATCTTTTGTAAAAAATGCCATAATTAATAAACAACATGCAGTGTCAATCTTTTTTGATTTAGAAAAAGCATATGACACTACATGGAAACATGGTATTTTAAGAGATTTACACGATTTTGGATTGAGAGGCCGTTTGCCTCAATTTATATCAAGTTTTTAGCTGACAGGCAATTTCAAGTCCGCGTGGATTCTACCCTGTCTGACCATTATAATCAGGATCAGGGTGTCCCACAAGGCAGTATTTTGTCTGTCACACTTTTTAGCATCAAAATTAACAGTTTATCCAAGGTTTTAAATGATTCAATAGATGGATCACTTTTTGTGGATGATTTTAATATTTCTTGTCGTGGTAAGAATATGCATACTATTGAACGGCAACTGCAGCTGTGTTTAAATAAAATACATAAATGGTGTCTTGAAAACGGTTTTAAATTTTCCAAGTCCAAAACTAATTGTCTACACTTTTGTAGAAAATATAAGCCTCATAAAGACCCGGAACTATCTCTAAATGGCACTCCTATCAAAGTTGTGAAGGAGGCCAAGTTCTTGGGTATTATTTTTGACTCACACTTAACGTTTCTACCACATATTAAAGCACTTAAAACTAAATGCCTGAAGGCACTTGACTTGTTGAAAGTCGTTTCCAATTCTAAGTGGGGAGGGGATCAAGCTACCCTCCTCCACCTATATCGATCATTGGTCCGCTCGAAACTTGATTATGGATCCATCGTATATGGTGGAGCCTGCAAAAGCAACCTAAAATTACTTGATTCTGTCCATCACCAAGGCCTAAGACTTTGTCTTGGGTCCTTTAGAACCTCTCCTATTGACAGTCTATATGTTGAAGCAGATGAGCCCTCTCTAACACAACGTCGTATCAAATTATCTTTACAATACATAACTAAACTATATTCTAGCCGAGTCTAACCCTGCATTTAACTGTGTCTTTAATCCCTCTACGAGGATTTATACAACAAAAAACCGTCTCTTGTTCCGCCTCTTGGGCACAGAATTAAGCCCTTCATTTCTGCTGCCGGCATTGAGCTGGAAAATATATCTCCTTCCCGTCTTCTTTCTTCTCCTCCTTGGCAACTGGTGAGGCCTGAAGTTGACCTAACTCTGACAAAGTTTAAGAAATCTGTAACTAATGAATTACAATATAAACAAGAATATAATCAATTAAAAAATAAATATAATACTCATAAATCCTTATTTACAGATGGGTCCAAGGATGGTGGCGCGGTGGCATGTGCCACTGTCATTGGATCCCGAACAATATCTTCTCGACTACCAAATAACAGCTCTATATTCACAGCAGAAGCAAACGCCATATTAACAGCTCTTAAATATATTAATAAACACCGTAAATATAAACAATATATCATCTTTTCAGATTCTCTTTCGTGTCTTCAGGCTATTAAAAATATTTCTTGCAAACATCCACTTTTATTAGAAATTCTTGAATTGTACAATGAACTTGCTACTGGCCAATGCGACATCGTCTTTTGTTGGTTACCCAGCCACGTTGGCATTTCTGGGAACACGATGGCTGATATTGCTGCTAAGGCAGCCCTCAACAAATCAGTGACACCACTTCTTATCCCATATTCAGATTATAAAGCCAGCATTAGAACATACATCCGCGATCTAATGCAAAAGAAGTGGGACACCCAAGAAGGTATTAATAAATTACATGCAATAAAACCCTACATTGGTTACACTTACTTGGGTTGTCAGTCCAGATTTGAAGAGGTCATTATGCGACGATGTCGCATTGGCCATACCAGATATACTCATGAATATTTATTGAAAGGCGAAGATCCTCCGTTTTGTATCCCTTGTGATGAAAGGATCACAGTCAAGCATGTCTTGCTTGACTGTATTGAATATTCCATCACAAAGGATATCTATTTCAAATCCAAAACTCTGAAGGATCTTTTAATAATGTCAGTTCTCATTTAATTCTTGCATTTTAAAAAAATAGATTTGTTGAGTGATTTGTAAATAGATATATATTTTATTATTCGTAGTTTAGATTAGCAACTGAGATTGTTAGTGGCTGTATCCTCAAAGGGGGTTGAAGTATTGTAAAATCATTGTCCTCCTGAGAGGGTACGTAAGTCCCAAAGCATTTAGTCAATCTAAGTGTACCTGCTTTTTAATCGTAGAATAAGTGTGTGTTTAATTTATGGCTAGATTTCTATTCTGTCGCCAATGGCTGAAGGGATGGTGTAAATCCAGCTAGGGTCCATGCAGGTAGCAAAAGTAATGTAAGTCCCCATGGTTCCTAGTATGGTGATCTACCTTCAGTTGTTGGCGATCTATAGCCCATTTTTACATTGTATTGTCTTCTTTAATTGGAATATTTTAGCTTTGTTCGCTAGTTTTATATTGATATCTGTGATTGTCTAGTATTTTTACTGTCCTTCGTTGGCAGGTTTTATATAATAACTATATATATTCTATTACAATGTCAAATGTTCTCGTCACGATATGGCTGAAATATTGCCGATGTGACGTTAAATAATAACTCACTCACTCATTTTACACCGGGATGAGAAAAGGAGTGGTAGGAACTGTACCGACATGTCAAATTTATCGGTCCTTTTTAGGTAGGTTTCTCGGAGACAAAACGCGGATGGCTTGAAGTCTTGAATTAATAACTGTAATTCATTATAATTATTCTTAAGTCCTCTGCAATTCCATTGAATCATGTTTTGTGGATTCATGGTGCTTCCACTTGTGACGAGAAAACGTTTGATGAATTCCTATTGGTGTCAGGTGGAGATGGAGTTACCTCCATATCCAGAGGGCCAAACACTACAAAAGTGACTTGGTTTCCTAAATCTGGAAACCATCCGTATACTGGGTAAATGGGGAATCCAGTTGGTTTCCATTCACTGAAACTGAGTAACTGAGTTTCCATCTAGATTCCATTTTGGATTCTTTGATTTTTTCATTTCAGTAAATGGAAACCAACAAGAAAATAAGGTTAGAGGTTTCTTGGTGGTTTCCATTCCTGGAATTTGCAATTGAAGGTTTAATGAAATGGAAACCAACATAAAACCAGAAAATGTGGTTTCATGTTGTTTTCCTGTGCACTATTTTGAACTGAGTAACTTAAAATTTGCAAGTATTTGGCATGAAATTGACCATCCTGGCATCCAGTTGGTATCCATTCATTGAAACTGGGTAACCTAGTGTCCTAATAGAATTCATAATGGATACTGTAAACTTATAGTTCCAGTAATGGAAACCAACAAGAAATTATGGTCATGTGTATACTGTTGGTTTCCATTCCTGAAACTTAGTTTCGAAGATTAACTACTTTTATATCATATTACATTATCAGTAATTGCGTAGAATAAAAATGAGGTCTTAAAATTCAAAATGAATATGCCTGGGCAAGGAACAGCAGATTTACATTTGAAAGAGTACGTAATTTGTAAGATTGCTTAGATGAACAAGAAGAAAGGTTACCCCAAATAGTTATTGACGCATTGGTCAACTTTATATTTACCTGTTTTGTCGAACCAAGATGTCGAGTGTGTGGAAAGAACTGATATCATGGGACACCAAATCACTATTCTGTTATAATTTTGATATATATGACACATGAAGTGTTTCACTTGTGTACGACAATAACTGTGAAGTCTGACAAACTTTGATGAACAATCCTCAGTTATCAAATTTTATCATTTATTACAATTTTCATTGTTATTAAATACCAATTATCTATCGTCATTTCATATCATGGGGAATTTTGAAAATCTAAATAGATGGATGATATTCTACGATGAGTAACAATTGTCACTGTAGTAATGAAAAAGCATAAACGTCAAAAAGTTAAATTTGAGGGAAAACTCGGTTTAATTATTTTTGCTTTAGAATGTGAAAGAGTACAAGCATTTAGGAAGTTTAGTATAATGTAATTCAAACAATTGTCAATCCGGTACATACATTACGGATTTCTCAATAACTAGAATATCAGGGAATTGTACTATGAATTGAGGTTGTGAGTAATGTTTACCATTAAAAGCATTCCAAGTTAGTATAAGCTTTGACAGTGAGTTCAAGTACTTGACAAACAATCAGTGTCATGTCATTTGTATGTCGGGGTCTGTGTGTCGGCTTCCTTGGGGTTGTCTCGTCTTAACGGGCACCTATTATCAAAATTGAATTGTAGAAGTAATAAGTCGGTAATCCGTGGGCACGCGCGGACTCGTCACATTTTATAAAAGCAATGTTTTTATGTACTGAAGTGGTCATTTTCGTCTTTTATGTCTTGAAATCACAACCAAATTGGGTCAGATAATGTTTTCATACCTGCCAATCAAAAAGGGATTAGGTATTTGTTATTACCCACAATGCCCCTACACACAATTGCCGCCATTTTGTCACTTGAACTCATGAGAAGTTGTTTTGAAAGTGGGCCAAAGTGTCTCCCGTTTTTAACACAACAAGGAACCCAGCACAATGAATTATTCCTTCGCTTGTCCATGTTATCTGAATCAAGGAAAATGGCAATGCGAGTTACCCTAGAAGCTTTGGAGCTCGGGTACGTGAAAACCTGAAAACCGGAGCAGTCGCCGATCGCAGAGGGAGAAAGGGAACATTCCACGACGATGTCAGGTACGGGATACGGTGATTTCGTAGACTGAACCAGTTCGTCGACGCGGTGAATTCGTAACCCAGACTGATTCGTAGACGGTGTATTCGTAGACGTGTATAAATAATTGAATAATAGTATATTAAGTTTGATTTTTACTTAGAATGTGTATAACGAAATTGTTATGCTTTGTTTTCAGTGTCTAGACTTGTTTTACATGTATTTGTATATGTAGGGTTTGGGTTGTATTTTTTATTTTCAGTGATACGAAAATATTGTTACTGTGTGACTGTGTGTGTAATAAAGATGAAGCGTCGTAAAATGTAAAAAGACAGACAGTATTGTTATGGAAGAGTGATAATGTAAGAAGGTAAGAAGGTAACAACAGCACGTATCACAGTAGCACAGTATCACAGTCACTCAGTGACCATTGGCCCATTTAGTTTGGAAATCGTCCCATAATCTAAAAAATTATCCGACTTGGCACGCTGGCCAGCATGCTGACCGTCTGTGACAAGTCGAATCTGCAGGGGAAGTAGGTCAGCCTCTCGGAAGAGGAGGGGAAGCAGCCTGTAAAAAGGTAGGCGACGTCGCCCGGACAGCTGGTTTAAGCGCTTGTGCCAGCTTTCCAGGTGATTGTTCGTCCGGATGGCCTTCCCAAACACGCTCCAATTAGTAATGGTCCACACAGAGCTTCGGATCCATGTTGACTCATAATATTCACAGAGGGCGATCAGATTCGGTGTCACTGCTTGCTGTTTCACCTTCATAAATACTGGCTCGATATGGGCTGAGTCTAGGAACTGCAAGCCCATAAGCTTTTTGATGAATCTAAAAAACAAATTATAAAAATGTGAGGCATAATACTAATGAAATGAAGATAATTTTTTAAACAAGATCATCTGAAAGATTGTAATAAGAAGCAAAAGAATATTCACCTGTGTGTTCCCACGTCCTCTTCGTAAGCCGTAGCCAGACTGAAGTTCTGCACCTTCCTATAAATCGCCTGATTCATATGGAAGGTGCAGCCCTTGATCTGGACGGCCAGAAACTCTTTGAAACCCTCTCCAGGTCGCCGCCTCAAAGTCCGTGACCATTTTTTCAACAGCTGCGTTGTCCATTAGGTCGTTCACCACGTTGAAGACCTGTTAAACAGATAATTACGTCATTAATTGATGACTTGTTTCATCTACGATCCGGAGACGAGGAAAGCATGGATGGACAGCAGCTGGTGAAAAGGGGGTGACACACAACGGAATGTAGAATCGATGTACCAAGTCTTGGCCGTCTTTAAAGTCTTTAATTGTTGCTCGCTTGCCAATACGAGATGACGCTGTCCTCCGCCTGTCTTCATATCCGCTCTTAGGAAGTCACTCGGTAGGAAGCGGGAGCAAATCTAAAGAAGAAAAACATTTGTGAAAATGTTAAATTGGTGGAGAGAGAGGCAGGGTCGGGGACAGAGGAAGAGTCGGAGACGGCGGGGGTAGTGAACATCTCTTACAGATGAAGTCCATCTGCAGGTGCCCTTTCGTCATCTGTCGGTAGGTTGCGATGTCTATCCCTGTGTCGCAAAGGCGATGCTGCCACTGATCGCAGCTGTCGCACTGGATGGCATGTTGTCTCGGACGCACTTCTTTCACACAACGCATAGAGCCATGGTTGATGCAGAATGATTTCTTCGATGATGATGATTTGGAGTTTAACGTCGGCTTTTAGCTGTAGCCAATGTCGCCGACGGGGTAGGTGGTGGGTAAGATAATAATAAATAGGTTTGAATAAGGAGTAAACCACCGTACCCAAAAAAAATATAAATAATGGGGCATTAACCTAGGTGTGATTTTGAAATGAAAAACGTTAAAAACATGAGAAAAATAAATAAATAAAAAGCCGGTATTAGGAATGGAAAGGGGGAGAGAAAGGAAAAACAGTACAATTAAATTTATAGGGATAAGAGGTAGAGTAATAGCTGAATAGTAGTAGTGAAAATGTTGGACCTATGGTGTTTGGTAGGGGTAGTGGGGGAGGGAGATGATAAGGGGGAGTATAGCATAGTGGGGCATGAATATGAATGCAGGTGAGCTGCATAATTAATATAAGGGGATTTAATAAAAGAAAGAAAAAAATGGATTAAGTTGGTAGGGGTGGGGAATGGGGTGAGGGAGCGAAGAAGGCTGTGGGTAAGGGCCGTGGCTATAAGTGAAGGTTGGAGGTAAGCTGGCTTGGGTGAATGGCATTGACCTTGCGTAAGAGAGGTTGGGCTGGTTTGTTTACATTTTAGTGGACTGTGATTGGCTAGGGATGGGCGCGGACCTCTCACAGCGGGTTTAGGGCACTATTGATGAATGAAATTTACTCCCGGGTCTAAATGTGTAGGCATGTGCTGGTGATAATATGGGTAAATTGAATTCCCTTTGACGCCTGATCTGAATATATAGGCTAGAAGTGAGTGGTAATGAGAGGGTTTGTTTGGGAGGTTCTAAATTTTTGAAGTAAGTTGGAGTTTCAAGAAGGTGGCTATGGCTTGGAATATATTGGGCGGGTTGTGGGGGTTGAGAAGGAGATGAATGTTGTTGTGGTATTTGGTGGGAATGTTGTTGTGTAATTGCTTAATGTTTGTTTGTTGCAGCTGGCAGTGTGTGAATATGTGGTTTATGTCTTCATGGGTGTTGCAGTGAGTGCATAATCCGTCCGCGTGTCTGTTTTGTTTGTACAGTGTGTAGTTTAAGTTAGTGATGCCTGTGATTAATCTGGTAATTGCCCTGTCGATGATTTTGATGTTAGAATATGTGGGAATTTTTCTTATTGGGGATTTGATAATGGATGTGACCCAGGTTGATTTGTTTGTGTTGATGTTGTGTTGAAAGTTGGTATTTGATATGTTTGTTTTAATGAGTTTTTTAATTTCTGATTTGGATGTGTGGAAGTTGAGGTTTGGTGATGTGTGGGATGTGGCGAGTTTGGCTGCTGTGTCGGCGGTGACATTTCCTGTGATGTTTGAGTGACTGGGTATCCATGTGAATGTGATGTTTTTGTTTGAGCGTGTGAGTGAGTCTGTTTGAATAATTATATTGTGAATTAGGTCTGGGCGCGATTTAGAATGCATGTTGTGGACTTGTTTGATAGAGTTGAGTGAATCGGATAGAATAAGGAAGTTTGTTTGGGGAAGGGAGGGTATTAGGTGTAATGCAGTGAGAATGGCAGTGAGTTCGGCAGTGTTTATTGTGGTATAGTTGGTATAGTGAAAATTTGTTGTGATGGGAGGGGTTTGTTGAACGTGTATGCCTAGGCCTGTGGGTTTGTTAGTGCTGACTGATGCATCTGTATATATATGGGTGTGTTTGGGGTAGTTGGTATTTAAGTAGTTGTTTGTGATATTAGTTATGGTGGTTTGGGGGGAGTTTTTAGGTAGTTGTTTGAGGGTTGTGTGGAGGGACATATCTGTGAGGGCTGGGGGTTTGTCGTGAATGTAGCTTGTAATGGGAGGTGTGTGTTGTATGGCGTTTAGTTGTTGTGCATGTAACAGACTGTGTAGGTGGGTAAGGCATGATGCTTTGAGTGGGTTTAATTTAAAAAATTTAAGTGTAGATTTTTTAATGTTTTTATATTTGTTTGAGACTAATTTGAATATGGGGTTGTGTTGGGCCCCAGCCCAGTAGGTGAGTGTGGTTTGGTTAATTCTTTGTGTGATTGAAGAGGTGCCTGTGAGAAGAAGTAGTGTGTTCAGAGAGGTACCGCTCCTCGCGCCTAGGGCTAGTTTAAGGGCTTTATATTGAATAGAATTAAGTTTTTGAAGGTTGTGAGAGGGGAGGTTATGGAGAACCGGTGCGGCGTAGTCCAATCTCGATAATATGAGAGTTTTGTATATATTTATAAGGGTATGTTTGTCGGCACCCCAGTTTGTGCCGCTGATGGCTCGCATTAAGTTAAGATCTTTTTGACATGAATTGACCAAGTTATTAACGTGGGGTGTCCATGTCATGTGGTGGTCAAAAGTTACTCCTAGAAATTTTGCTTCTTTTTTGAATTCAATTTCTTGGTTGTTTAAGAGTAGTTTGGGGGTATAATTTTGCATATGCTGAGTTTTGAATAATATGCCCACGTTTTTTTCACGTTAATGAGGAACCCCCATTTTTGGGCCCAGATTTGAATTGAGTTTAACATTTTTTGAATTTTGAGTGATGCTTGTTTAACTGAGGTTGAGGAAGTCCAGAATGAAATGTCGTCCGCAAATTTGGCTGTAGTGATTTCAGGCCATTTATTAGGAAAAATGTCATTAATCATAAAATTGAATAAAGTTGGGGATAATATGCTCCCCTGGGGGGTTCCATTTTCTAGAGGGTATAGATCCGAGGTGGTGTTGTGAGATTTGATTGTTATTTGTCGCTCGTTTAGAAAAGAGTGAATGAAATTTAGTATTCGACCGTGAATGGCATGATTTTGAAGTTTTTGTAAAAGGCCGTTATGCCAAACCATGTCGAATGCCTTGCTGAAGTCGATAAAAATGGCCATAGTGTATTGTTTCTGTGCTTGTGCTACTTTGACATCTTGTTCTAGATGTAAAATGTGGTCTAAAGTTTGTCGATTTGGAGTAAAGCCACTCTGGTCCTCCTTAAGTAAGTTGTTAGTTAAAATAAGGTGTTTGAGCCTGTTGTTTATAATTGTTTCAAGGGTTTTACAGAGGTGGGAGGTGAGTGAGATGGGGCGGTATGAGTCAGGCTCGTTATTGGGTTTCCCTGGTTTGAGGATTGGTACCACTCTGGCTGTTTTCCAGTTGTTTGGGATAGTTCCTGCGGTCCAGATATTGTTGAAGAGTGTAAGTGTGATGTTAAGCATGTTTGGAGGTAATTTGTTTAATATTGTGTATGTGATGGTATCTGGACCTGGGGCTGAGGCTGTTTGTTTGTTTTTGAGTGCAGATTTAAGTTCGTGAATGTTGATTATTTTATTTATGGGTTTGTCTGTGTGGGGAGGTTGTGGGGTGTAGGGTGGTGGTTTTTAATAGTGTTTTGGAAGGTGGGTGGGTAGTTGGTGGAGCTGCTTGTGGCCGAGAAGTGGGCAGCAAATGCATTTGCTTTGTCTTTATTTGTGGTTTGGTCCGGGAAGTTAGGTGAAATGGTTTTTTTAGAAATGCCCTTTATGGCTTTGAATTTATTCCACATGTTTCGAGGATTCCGATGAGATTGCCTGAGGGTTGAACAAAAATTTCTCCAGTGGGTGATTTTTGCTGCCTTGATAATTTGTTTAGTTTTGTTTCGTAGTTGTTTAGCTAAATGTAATTTTGATCGGTCCCTTTTTGATTGGTTAAGGGCCTTTTTTCTAGCCTTTCTGGCATTAGTAATTTCTTGGCTCCACCACGGGACTGTTTTTAGTGCGGGGTTGGGCCGAAAAGTAGGAATGCATTTGTCTGAGATATTAAGAATAATGTTTGTAAGATTACTGTTAAATGTGTTTATGTCGGGGCTGTAGATGGTTGAGGTATTTACTTGTTTGCATAATGTTGAGAATTTTTTCCAGTCTGCTTTGTTAATATTGTATCTGGCTTCTGTGGGTGTGGGTGGGGAGAGGTGGTTGCACGTGTGGGAATGTGTGAGGTAATGGTGATTTTGATGGGGCAGTGGTCGCTGCCCCAGGTGTCGGTGTGTACCCCAGATACAAGCTTGAGTTAGGTTGGGGGTGGTGAATGTGAGGTCTATGGCTGTGGGGGTTTGAAGGTGGGAGAGGGGTAACGTGTGGGTTGATTATCGTTGAGGCAAGTTAGGGAGTGTTGGTCTAGCCAGTCGGTGAGGCGGGTACCGTTAATGTCAGTGTGGGGTCTTGTGCCCCACAGTGGGTGATGTGCGTTAAAGTCTCCGAGTAAAATGGTGCTGGGAGCTATGAATTTAGACAGTATTTCCAAATCTTGGGGGGGGATTTTGATAGCGGGGCTTCTGTAGACGTTAATAATTGTGATTTCTTTGTTATTTAGTTTGGTGTTGATAGCCAGGACTTCTAAGTTGGTTACAGGAATTTGCAAGATGGTATAGTTTAACTTTTCTGAGATATAGATGCCCACCCCCCCGCCCGGGGGGCCAGGGTAATTATGTGGCCGAGGTCTATCTTTCCGAATGTAATTGTAGCCTGGTATTTTGAAGGCGAATTTTGGTGATAGTCTAGTTTCTTGCAGAGTTATAATGTCGGGGGCAATTTTGTTATGGGCGATGAGTGCCTTGAGCTCATGCCCATGCGCTCGGAGAGACTGTTGCAATTCCACTGTATAAGTGCCATGGTTACTGTAATTTGAAATAAGAGTGTACTAAATGCCATGGCGTGGGGCATGAATTTGGAAGAAAAGTAGATTTGGTGCTTTAGTGGTTTAGTGATTGGTGTTTAAAAGGGTTTTTGATGGCTATGAGAAGACTGGCTGAACTTTTGCGGTATAGTTTGGATTTGTGTGCTAGTGTATGTAGTTTTGCTGTGGGTTTGTCCATGAGTGTGGCCATGATGATAAAATTCCACTAACTTGTTTAGGTTATGGTTGAGTTTTGTGGCGTGAGTGTTAGTGTGGGATTATGGGCTGGTGATGTGTTTTATTAAGCGGGGGTTGTGTTTTGTTTGTGGGAAGTGGGATTGGTGGCTTGTGTTGGGAGGGTTTGGGGTGTGGGGAGGGTTGGTGGGTTTGGATGGGGGGTGCAGTTTTGGGGCGTGTTTGTTTGGGTGGGGCAGTTGGGATGGGTGTGGGAGGAGGGTTGTTTGGGCGGAGGGGTTTAGGGCGGGATTGGGGTGGGTATGGTTTGGGTGGGTTGGTGGAGCGAGTAGGTTTGGTGGTTGGTTGGGGGCGGTGTTTGCTGGGTTTAGGTGAGGGTGGGGGTGAGTAGAGAGTGATGAGTTGGGGTAGAGGAAGTGTAGGGCGAGGATGAGGAAGCTGAAAGGAAGGAGTGGTATGCGAGTTGGGGGCGAGCTGGTTTGGGCAGGTCGGTGTTTTTAATATGTTTGTTTAGCCTGAGAATGTGTTTTTGTTTGATAGGGCATGTGTTTTGTGTAGCGGTGTGTCCGGGTGTGTTGCAGTGAATGCAGTATTTCTGTTGTCGACATTCGTCTATTGTGTGAGTGTCCGACCCGCATTTGGGGCATAGCATGGGGAGTTTACAGTGGTCGGATATGTGTGTGTAGGAAAAGCAGTATTTACATTGTTTGGGTTTTTTTCGTGTTGGGTGTACTTTGTAGGTGAGGGCGCCGAATGTGATGTGTGTTGGGAGAGTAGTGGTGTCGAACGTGAGAAAAGTTGTTTGTGTGTTAGGGTTGAAGGTGGTGGATTGTCTGTTGTTGATTGTTCTGAAGTTTGTGATTTAAGGTTGGTTGGGGATGGTGTTGGCTATGTCGATGTCGTGTTTGATGTCAGATTCGGTTTCCCTTGTGTCGATGTAAATTACTCCTTGTATGGATGTCTGCCAGCGGGGGTACTGCCAATTTATCTGTTTCCCGTCGATGAGGGTGTGGTTAAGTGTGTGTTTTAATGATTGCTGGTCAGTGAAAGTAATTTTAAAGCCTCGTCCGCAATTGTTAATGTATTTGTATTTTATTTTTTGTGTTGTTGGAGGCAGAGGGCAAATTTATTAATGGAGTAAGTGTGGTTGAGCGGCGTGTGAGTGTTGGTGGCGAATGCTAAGAGTATGAGCTTGGGTTCTTGGGCTTGGGGTGGGGTGGCTTGGTCGCATGTTTTTTTGTTGGATTGTGTGTTTTCAGTGGGAGAGATGTGTGGGCGTTTGGTGGATTTGGTTTTGGAGCTTGGGGGTTGTGATGCTGGGGGTGGGTGGTTGGGTGGTTGTTGGGTTTGTAGAAGGGAATCAATATCTATACCGAAGTTAATGGGGATGGGGTTCATTTGGGTTGGGGAGGTAAGGTGGAAAATCTTTGGTGGGGTAGAGAAAAGAGAGGCCGAGGGGTTGGGAGGCCATGGTGTGATGAGGGCGGGGGAGGGAGAGAGGGCTGGGGTGAAATATACAATACACAAATGATAAAATAAACAAATTTAAGAAAGAAAGCATATATACAAATGAAATGAAGGAAAGTTTGAAAGTTTTTTTGTTTGTTTTTTAAAGTTTTGCAGTCAATGGTAAGACAGTTCAACACTTGCGTGTCTCCCAGGCCCCGGGGGGCCACGGTGCGGCGACCGGCAGGGTATGTTGGTTTGCTTTGTAATCAATCAATCGGCTGGTGTTGGAAGAGAGGAGGAGGATATTCAGGCGAAGCCAGCTTTGTGATGTGAATTGGGGTCGATCGGTGTGTGCGAGGCGTCAGATACGTCCAGCTCCAAGCGCTAATCGAATCGGAATGAATGGTGAATGAATGATTTCTTCTTACCTTCTTGAGGTTTATATACCATAAGTGTGTGTACAGGTAAACTTTGTCGGCGGATTAGACAAAATTAGTCTACTCATCATAATTTGCCGACTGTTTTCATTGTTGTGGGAGGATTAACAGGTTTCACTGAGTTGTTGTGAATGTTAATTAGGAAGTGGTGAGTTTGATTTTGATTGCGAAATACTCTGTGTTGGAGATGTAAGTGTTTTCTTAATACGTGTTTTCTGCTACTTCTCTGCTGGTCTGCGCAGTTAAACGTTGAATGACGATACTTACCTAATACATATCTTTTAATTTTACACAACTGAATTTAATATATTAGCGGCCTATGATTTGTCGGAATTTGTCGGACATGGACCACTGTGAAGCATATTTTGTTATTTTATTATTTAAGGATATTTTCACCGCCGATCATACTTACCTGATATATTGTATTTATTTCACAAAATGCAAACACTTTTCGTCGATTTTCTTCATCATTGAGGATGAACTTTTCCCATTTTAATAACGTCTACGAATCCACCGGATTTCCACGTCTACGAACCAGTCTGGGTTACGAATTCACCTTCACTGTAAATTTCTTGAATTAAGCAATAGCTCATGTTATGTGTAACGTTTAATGTACATAAGTAGCTAGGACAATAAATATGAAATTAAAGCTATAGACTTGATGGAACTCGATAAGCAATTGCGTGTCGAAATGTTGGCAAGAGATATGGCTTCCTTTACTTAGTCAACTCAAGAACTCGATTGTGATTTGGATCAGGTCACATACGACTAAATGGTTCATTATCGTAATGTATGAAATATTGTCTTTGCAAGAACAATATGAACCACAAATATATCCAGCAATGTCACGACTCAAGATAACTTCCAAACGTATTTAGAAGTATTCGAATATTATTGCAAGAAATCCAATGATAGGAAGTTCTATTTTAAAGTTTGTTATTGATAATTGCTTTTGATATTTGTACCACTGAAAACAATTCAGTGGGGGGATAGTGAGTCATTTTGCATTTATAGGAATTCTCTGACCAGATTTGGTGCATGGTTAGAGTGAAGTTTCAAAATTCTTTGTCTAGTTATTAGAGTTACAAGACAGCCTATGACAAAAAAATCGACAATATTTTTCAGCCAACTTTTAAGACGATATTTATCATGATACTTTAATGCTGTTGAGTGGATAAATTGTCAACACAATATTTTTGGAAACAGTTTTTTAAAAGGTTTTCAAGTCAGTATAGGATAGATTACTGATGTATGAGGTAATTTAAGTTAATCATCTGATGTAAACAATTTTACACTTAGAATGTCAATATATTTAACTCTGAATGAAGAGATGTGGATTTTGTTAGATCCACAAAAGAAGTTTCCAAAGAAAGTTGGATATATAGAACGTTTAATAGGATATGTTGGGGATACATTGATGTACATTGTCAACCTTAAATTATATGAACTTGTTAATTTTGCTTCTTGTGATATTAGCATATCTACACCTTGCAAATTGATATTTATTCTTATATTGTCATGCCTTATTGTTATCAAAAGTACAATATCACTTAGAAAGTACAAAGTTCCTGATTTTTCCCTTAATTTCTATATTTCCAGCATTCCATTGGGGCAGTGTTGGAAAAACTGAAGATGACTAACTGATCTTGACCTGCAACAGGTATGTGTAATCCAAACCCTTCAGTAAATGATGTACATAAAATTATTCAAATAATGTAAATCCTATGAATCAGAAAAATACACAAAAATTACACAACCACTATTTTCGTAACTTCCAACTGGAAATATTTTCTACTTATACACATCTCCTTTCACTTTCAGAAGCAGTTTGGCGGTTTTGGACGAAACAAGAGGGTTCGTTCACCTAGAAGACAAAGAAGTGGGAAAGCAGAGGCCTTTATCCGCAAAGAACAACAAAAGATTCAGACGTCAGATTCACATAGTGACGTCACGATGGCTGTCGGACGTGTCTCGGAGAGCTCCCGTCTAGGCATGTAAGTTTTTCTACTTTGGTGGATAATGGAAGTGAACCAGCTGTTTTAAAAGTCATTATCGTAAACATCACGACCATATTAGTCGACCAGTGTGCTTTTCATTAAAGGATGGACAATTTTTAAGACGATTTTGGACTGATTGTCTGCAAGCCAGGATTGGTATCATTTTCCATGTTCAGTGGCCATGTCAGTCATAACATGACAGGACAACATGATCTCAGCTGTGACGTTTCATATACTACATGCTGTCTGTTAACGTGAGAAGCAACCACTATACTGGGTAAATAAACTATATCCATATTGTGCACGAACTACTAAAATATATGGGTAGCTCTACACCTAAACGACAACGAGACGAAGTGTCAACATCGCCCGAACAGATTGATGTCGACTATAAACGCCAGTGTCAAGCGAACTCTGTATCGGATATATCAGACCCATCCATCTCTTAATATGAGTGAATCCGAGACATCGAACACTTCTATGAATATGGATAATTTTGCAGAAAAACTTGTTCAGGCCTTTCAAAATGACAATGTATTGAAAGTGATAGGCTCAGTTGTAGCCGAGGCGCTGCGCCCTATGATTCGAGAAGAAATCGAACAATTGACTGCCAAAAATCTGGAACTGGAGGGAAAGATTGATGACCTAAACTGTAAACTTAAAGAGAGAGATACTGTTATTGAGACATTAACTGAGAGGTTAGACCGAAGTGAACAGTACTCTCGCAGAAATAATCTACGGTTTAGTGGTATCCCTGAGGCAGAGGGGGAAAATACCGATAGGATTATAGTTTCACTGGCAAAATCAATTGGGGTTGACATAAGAGAATGTGACATTGACATCAGTCATAGGGTGCCCAGATGTCCCACCATCCCACAAGAAAGTCCACGCCCAGTGCTTGTGAGGTTCATAAGCAACGCCACTAAGCGTCTGCTATTACAATCCCGGTCTAAACTGAAGAACGTAAGAGCACCTGGAAAACCAAGAGTCTTCATAAATGAAGATTTAACCAAATCACGGGCCACCATAGCTCGTGATGCACGTCAAATGGTTAATGACCGCAAGTTTGAATCTTCCTGGGTCACAGGAGGGGTCATCTTGATAAAGCTCAAAGATGGCAGGGTGAGAAAGGTCGCAAACCCCACTCAGTACAAGGAAGCCTGCGATTCCACGAAACTTCTAACAACTATTAGTCTTAGCCAAGAGAAGGTCGTGAAATCATAAACAAACGCTCATTGGCTCAAGAGATTTCGTGCTACTTTGTATGGTTAACATATGTGGTGCTTTGCCTCAGCTTGCATCTAAAGTACTGTCGGAAATGCTAGAAAAATGCTTTTTGACTTATATTTAAAAGTCAGAGGTATTAGAGTTACTTAAATAACAAATATCACTTCAAGATACATCTACCTAATGTAGACCGAGGGAATAAATTTTGAGACATGCTCTGAAATGTGTTTTTACTGATGAAAATACCAAAAACTTAGAAAAATAAGGGGTAGTGGGACGTTATTTGATACAAACATTAAGTGCCTGTGTTACGTCATCAGCATCCACTGTATCGACAGGTGAAATTGACACCTGAGCACGTACACGCTCGTGGGAGGGGTCATATCAATAGATGTTTTCTGCAAAATGTTGAATATGTGTACGTATAGTATACGTATCGGTTATGTAAAGGATCATTTGTGTATGTGTGTTTGTTTTGAAATAAACATACGAATTGCTGTACATTGGGAAGAATCCTATCACTTGTGTTATCTTATCGATTGATTGTAGAACTGTGCAACGTTTTAATAAATGTTTTGCATGTCAACAGTATATTTCATTGAAAAAATATGGATGTAATTCGGTCAGTTTAATCCAGTTGTGAACATTGGCCAAAGATTTAACGAAGTCACTGGTGTAGCTTCTTTAGAATATATATATTTTTCTTCTCATAAAGTTTGTAGACCGCCCGTCTAAGCACTCCCTTGTCAAAGTTGTCAAGGATGGCTTCACGTCCCAGTTTTGCATTTGAGACGGTCCCTGTCTTGTCTGATTTGTTTACAATATTGTAAACTTGTTGGTAAGACATGCCAACAGCTCTATAAGATCTGTAATAAACCCTTTCCAAACTAATGAAAGGTTTACCTCTGTCTTTTTTTAAGCAGGAAAAACTATAAACCTTTGCAACAATTGACTGCAAATCGTTGGCCATAGTGGACGCTGTGATAAAGATGTGCATGCATGACGGGAAACTTATTTATCAAGACTTAACATTTATATTAATATTTCTTTAATAAAGAAACGATAATTAAGTAGAGTAACACAAACATTCAACAGTTATTTGTTTAGGAAAAACGTTAATTCATATTTTTACACCACCTGTATGATTAGCATAAATGTAAAGACTATTTCAGATTTCTGTTGTTGAACTCTGAAAAAATCTTAAGTTGATGTTTTGGTACCAAATTCACTCCTGTAAACTGCCCTTTAAATGCATGGGAAGGTTAAATCGATTGAAATAAAAATTAGGTAGACAATAGGCGAGTTGATATATTGACAACATAGGACATTATCACCTTTATAAAGATATTCAGGCTAAAAAGCATTTTTCTAGCATTTCCGACAGTACTTTAGTTTGTTAGTGCATGCAACGTTGATATGATCTATGCTCAGCATGTATCATGATCATTTCAAAATGGGTAACAATTTGTCATGTTTTATTTTAACGCAACAAGTCCAACGTCTTCGCCTACACGCAGTCAAGATGCTTTGCATTATTCCCACGTGCAGTTAGCAATGTTTTCACTCGCTGATGAAGCGTTTCTATACAGTATATGAGTGTCTTCAGCTTATTCTGTGCTGAAAATGTGTTTACGTACAATGTTTGTCTCCCGACCGGTGTCATGATATCATGTGGTTGTCATGTGTTACGTCAGTACAACCGTTCATGTCCTCGCCGAGTTACAGACAAGATGCTTCTCATGTTTTCCACGTGCAGCGTTTGATATCAAAACTGGGTCATGAGATATCAGCGTTTACGCCCTCTGACAAAGTGTTACCATACCTCAGTGTCCTGTGCGTCTGCGACATGTGTGTTTTATGTCATGAACGTTTCTTAAGCAACGCGCCTATTTGAATTACAGGTTCTGAAGACCTCAATAAAGTGATATGAATTTACGAACATATCATGTCTTACCACACGTGTATTGATCTATAACGTCACCAAAGCGTGTGACATTGTTTTTAAATCTTCATGCAGCATTATTGCAGTACTGTGT